CTTGGTGGAGTTCGATCAAGCACAGTGTAGCCAAGAAGAATTACTGAGAGCTGAATGAAGGTCAAACATGATAGTGGGCCAGGAGGAAAGTAAAAGGAAATAGAGGAAAGAACTAGGAGGCAAAAGATATTAATAGAGGTATAAATACAGGCATGTACATATGTAAATATAATTATATATAACGATAGGGATATAGGATATATACATATATTTATATGTTAGGTATCAAGGTAGCAAATGGATATTGGGCCTCTACTCAAGTCCTCCCTCAATGAAAGAACACTTTGTTCTAATAACCTGGCATTCTGTGGTGCTCACCTTCCTAACAAAGTCATTGAAGATAAAAAGGGTGCATAAGCAAATGTGATGAAGAAAACTGATGGTGCCTAGCTATTAGAAGACATAGGATCTAGGATCTTAAAGGCTTGAAGATAAACAAGTGGCCATTTGGCAGGGAAGTAACAAAGTCCACATGGAAGACGCAGACAAACCTGTGTAATCACAGAATCAGGGATCAGGCATCAGAAGACCCCAAACAAATAATCATTGATGTGAATGAGGAGGGCTGGAGTGGAGACCCAAAGCCCATCTGTAGATAATCAGATATCCCCTTACAAAGGGTCACAAGGAAGAGACGAGCCAGTCAAGGTACAGTATAGCACCGACAAAACATATAACATTCCTCTAGTTCTTTAATACTTCCTCCCCCCACTATCCTGACCCCAGTTCTACCTTACAAATCCAGCTGGACCAAAGCATGTACACTGGTAAAGATAAGAGCCCTCAAACATGGAATCCAGGACAGATAAGCCCCTAAGAAACAGTAATGGGAGTAGCGATACAATGAGGATAAGGGGAAGGTGGGGGGAGAAAGGGAGAACCAATCTCAATGATCGATGTATAACCCCACCCTCACTGCCACCCCCCTGGAGATGAACAACAGAAATGTGGGTGAAGGGAGACAGAGGATGGTGTAAGATATGAAAATAATAATAATTTATAAATTATCAAGGGTTCATGAGGGGCGGAGGATGGGAGAGGGAAGGGAAAAAAGAGGAGCTGATAACAAGGGCTCAAATAGAAAAAACATGTTCTGAAAATGATGATGGTGGGGG